TTGTTTAATAATGTCTATTTTATAATTATAATCTCAAAAAAGTAACAATATAAAAGTATTTTATAAGACAATATACAAAACTGCTAGGCGACTGGGCGAGGCGAGCCTCCAAGGGTGCCTTGTTGCCTAGGCGTCACCTTGACAACTATGTGCCTAAGAATGATTCCTTACAAAATCCCCAAAGAGACTTGTTCAATTAGTTGGCCAAAACAATGAACATACCTAATAATCAAACTTCCACAAGTGTTGAAGATTTATTTTTTTTGTTTTTTGATAAGCCAAGTGTAGAAGTTTCCTACGATGCTCACTTCATAACCTTTGTTCTTCAATCAAGCCAAGTTGTAGGTGGCACAACTCCTTTCGTTATCTTTAGTTTGATTCCCCTTTGTTCCAAATTGCTTCCAAAGCTCTGGAACTTGGTGCCCATTTGGGAAGGCTTTCCCACAGCAGTTTCCAACGTTCCAAGGTAGGCCCCACACAGAAAGTCAGGGAGTTGTGTTGGGTGAAAACCCCAAAAATCCGAAAAATACCATTGTTCAGCTGAGAAATCAACTTTCCAATGAAACTGGTTCTGGTAGCTTCTTCAAAGCCACTCAGTCAACGTAGCTCAATCAATGCAAAAGCCCTCCCAAACGAGCTCTCAAACTAGGGTTTCTTCTTAAGAACCTTGAAATCCAATATGATTTTCACAATTAAGGTTCATTTTTTCTCAATCAATCTTATCAATTAAGTATCGTACCCAAGGGCAAAGAGAACCCCCCCCCCATTATATACTCAACACATCTCCCAAACAGGCTTACAGAAGATGAGAAGAATTAGAATTTTTCCCAAATCTATCTCCTATACAAATTGAGACTAAGCCTAAACTCATTAGAAGAATAGAACAAGTGCACTTCAGTTCATACAGAACCCATAGGGTTCCTAGATTGAACCAACTATGATTTTGGTCCAAAATCAAATGACTCTGAATCCTACTAGGAGCAGAAGTCATAGTGCTATGCAGGAGCTCAATCTACCACACGGTTGTCTAGACTGCTATACAATTGTGAGGATAGCTGCATAGTTGTGTTCTGAATCTAACTTAATTACAGTTTGATCTGGACTTTAAAAAATGTCAGGTCAAGCCACCTGAAGAGCCCAAAGTATTCAATAGGTATCAAAATCCAATTAAATACTTGCTACATAATCCTTCTGTTCTGCCCCAAATACTTAGCACTAACAATAATAGGGAAAAAACTTATTCCTGTAAGAATCCAGTGTCAGTCCTCTACCAAGATGGAACCAGAAAAACACTTTTACAGACCAGAAAATTAATATAAGTTTTGCAAAACTAGATCATCAAACCATTTTGAAATCAGGAATTTCATCTTAGAAAACACACCAAAGTATTCTTTCAACAAGTAGATGTGTTGAGTTGGTCCGGTTTGTTTTTTATTTAGTTAGGAAGTTGTTAGGCTTTAGGCCCATTAGTTTATGTTTTTCTAAGTTGTGACTGTTCAGCTATATTAGTAGCCGCCCTACTAAGGGCATCCTTGTAATATCTCATCCTTTAAGTTAAGTATAAATATAATGAGAGGTAGGCGGGTAGGATTAATTTTACAATCCTGGTTGACTTACTACTCTTTTCTTCTTCTCCTTCCTTCTCTACTACTGAAATCTTCATCTTCTCCCTCTTTCCTTTCACAATAAACTCGACTAAATCTGCAATTAGTGATTTCTACTAGATGGGCAGATCATATCACTGCCACTTGCTTCCAATTTTTGACAATATCAACCATAGTGAAAGGTGTCAAGTCATATCACTTAAGCTTAATCTGAAAGTGTGTTTACTTACAGAGAATTATTTGTTCAAACTTCACAGAGAATTATTTGTTTTTGCCCCTACAAGGAACCTTATGCCAATTCTCACAACGAAGAATGAATAAATTTCAACCACTGCACAAAAATCCTCCAGCCAGTTATCCACAGAGAGTCACATTATATGTTATAAAATGATCAAGAGTAATCTTTCTATGAACCTACACCTGTTCCATAAGAAACAGGTTGACACTTCTGGAGAAATATTCCATGAAATATAAACAAAGCAAAATAATTCAGTTTATAGAAGTTGTTCTAAAGTGAATGATCTTGGAGAAAATTAAGAAATAGAAATTTTGTATTCTTATAAGCGCTTTCAATGGAAGTTGCAGTCACATCGCTATCTACAACACCACAATAGAGAAACAAAAACAAAGGAGAAATAAGAACTCACGTGGATGAAGAAGGACCCAAAAGTGGATTCTCCTTGAAGGGCTGAAAAGAGAATCTTCCCAGGAACGGAGCTAAACAAGAGACAGAGTTCTTGGGGCAATTGTTAATGCCCATGGTGATCACAAACACAACAACATTTACAACAACAAACGAAGGTATCAACCAAGGGAACCATTTCCGAAAAGGCCGAAACTCTCTGTTAGAATACGGAAGCACTGAGGATGTCATCGGCCTATCGCATCGTCTGGGTTGCGCCTTACTTTCAATGTCCGAGGGAGCATCCCTCCCCATCACCCCCAACGGACGAGGATAAAAAGAGAATCAAACAAAGGCAAATGCGTTTGCAACCAGCAGACAATTTAAAATGTGAGCTGGAAGCTTCTTTGCGCAACGAAGGAAGAAACAGAATTTGATGGGCAGAAGAAAACCAAGATTCTGAGGGTGGATTCAAGGTTTCGGTTGTGTAGCTGTAAAAGAGTTTCTAGACTTGGATGAATGTGGAAGCAAGGAAGATCAGTCATGGGGACAGGGCTGAAGCTGCTGTCTCGTTGTTGTTTGTTCTCCTCTCTCTTTTCTTTCTTCGTCCCAAAGTGAATGGTTACATTTCGACTGCTTCTTTGCCCTGTTCCCAATTATCAACATATCCTCTCTCTCTCTCTCTTCTCTCTCTGATCCATCCTCCACGGTTTTTGCTTACAAAAGGGAGAATTGATTGGGTTGCGGGGAGTCTGGATCTGCTGGTAACAATCAACGCTGGGCACATCACATTTTTAAACCACCTGTCTCAACACAGTGTTTTCAAGTAGAAGTGCATGTTTGTTTGTTTGTATTCGTGGAACAATCAAGACTGATGGTACAAAATTGTGACATGGGTAGCGTTGTTTTGTTACCAGAAGCTCCGGACTCGATTGCGGGCGTGACGGAAATGAAGAGACGTCCCAAAGATGAGAAAGGATATCCATCATTGAATGGGGTCCCGTTGCAAAGATCTGCAATGATATCCACGTTTGATTACCAAAAAATTCCAAACCCACGAATCGGTGATTCGAATCAGATTCATTTAAACCCAAAAAAATGGAGAGAGAAAGAGAACTGGATCCTTAATGAATTTCTCCGTTTTTTTTGTAGAAATGAATTTCTCCGTTTGATTACCAAAAAATTCGATTTAACCAAAAAAAAAAATTGATTTCATTGGGCTCGAATTCATGGGCGCGCCAAATTTTCAATGTTTTTAAGTGCTTATATTTTTTGGGTAAATTATAAAGACCCCCTTTACCATGAGGTCAATGACAAATACTTTTTTTAAGTGCTTATATTTTTTGGGTAAATTATAAAGACCCCCTTTACTATGAGGTCAATGACAAAGTTCCTCTGTACTTTTTTTTGCCATAAAAATTCCTCTAACTTTAGTCGTTAGACAAAGACCCCTTTGGCGGTTAAGTTAGATGACAAAAAATATTAAATTACCAAAATACCCCACTAAACCTTTTCTATCTACTTTTTCTTGCCCTTTTACTCTTAAAACCTATTTAACATAGGAAAAGGATATTTGGTCCTAAGAGTGATTTTGTTTGTTTTGATTTTTGGTTATCTTCCCTTCCATGATCAAAATATCATGGTCATGTACAGGAAGATTCTGATGCCCTTGTTGGTTCACCCGAAGCTTATTTAGCTCCTTTCTTTTCTTCTCGACACAAACTCCCTGACCAAAATAACAATTCCAGAAATCGTGGAGAATCACTAGCTTAATAAGGGATTCAAGCATATTAGATTCTACATGGAGAATGACCAGTTCCACAACCTTTGTTTTTATGCCATTTCACCTAACTTAAATGGAGAAGACAATGAACAGTATAAAAAGGGGTAGTTTGGATATTTAAAAAACTTTAAACAGTCGGATGAAAAAAAAATGAAATTAACTGACAAAACATTAACAAAAGGGGGCTTTTGTCTAATGGCTAAAGTTCAAGGGGTCTTTGTTGCAAAAAAAAAGTACGGGGGGACTTTGTCATTGACCCCATAGTACAAGGGGGATCTTTGTAATTTACCTTCTTTTCTTTCAAAATTATCCCTAATTAAATTTTAAAATACCATTTATAAAATTATCCCTAATTGAATTTTATAAAAATACTTTTATGGGAGCACTTTTATGAAAGCATTTTTACAAAAACACTTTTATAAAAGTTCTTTTATGAAATGAAAACACTTATAAAAGTAAAGTGCTTTCAAAGGGTATATTTTGAAAATTTGAAAGAAAATGAAGGACAAAATAGTCACAAATGCTTGTTTAAGTGCTTATTAGAGAAAAAGACCACCAAAGACCCAATATAAAATAAGTGCTTATTTAAAAAAAAAAACAAACAAACAAACACCTGAAAAAAGTTGGGTGCCAAATGCGAATAAGTGCTTATTCGAATAAGCACTTGTTTTTAAGCACTTATTTTTAACTCAAGCACTCCCAAACATGGCCTTAATCTAATTATAATACAAATCTAATTTAGATCACCCTTAATTAGATCAAATACAAATTTGAATCCAAACAAATGGATATTATTTGTGGCCATAGTAACAATTGATGACGGCTAATGTGGTAGGGTATCTAGATACGGGTGCAACTTGGGTTAGTCTAAATTAGTAATCTACTATTGGGAAAATTCCTAATCATTACCCTATACTTTAGGGGTTGTATCAAGTCAGAGTCTCCAAACTTCAAAACGTGTCTCTGCATACCTAAACTTTCAAAAAGTGTCTAATAGGTCCCCATTGTTAGTAGTCTTTTAATTATCCATATCATGTGATGACATAAGCGACTTAACACTTTTGAAAATATCAAAACTACCCTATGCCGTCACCATTATAGTCATTCAATTAGGTTGTTCTTCACATCCTCCACCACCCAAGTGGCTTCATCCTCCAAACCTAATCGAAGAGAATCCCACCCGCTAAAAATATCTTATCCTAAACATTACGTGTTTTAAATATAATAAATAGAAGGCATAATGGAACCTATCATAACGCTTTCCATACCAAAACGTAGCAGTGTTGCAGAATTGTGAAAATGATACTAAGAATTGCAGAGAAAAGAGGGGTTGAGTAGTGTCATCTAGTCACCCTCTTTAAAACTGCATTTGCCCACTACGGTGCAGTCAGGTGAGTGCACATTGGCCGCTAAGATAAAACAACCTATAGATTACTGGTAGACATGCACTCGCTTACTAGACCTCCATGGACCACTCAAAGACGATGTTCAAATATAGACGATTGACAAACTTTACTTTACTAACTTACCAGAGGGAGAGAGAGAGAGAGACTTCACCCATTCCTCGTTGTTACCAACATTAAATTTGTAACTGAAGAGCGAAGCCAAAGCAGCATAAAGCATTTTCGAAAAAAAAAAAGCAGCATAAAGCAAATTCAATACTAAAAAGCTAATTAAAAAAACAATTAAAACTATAATAAAATCAGTACTTTGTCCCAAGAAGCCTCAGGATCCAACAATTTCTCGAACTTGAATGGAGATATATGACCATTCTGCTATTGTTGTTGTTGGTGATTGAGTTTTGATTTCCCTTATTTCATGACGATGGTGAAGAAATTATATTCTCGAAAATTGTATATATCTCTCTCCCCCCAATCAAGGGCTGGCTTGTCGGTGTGTTAGAGTTAGAGTAGGCTCTTCATATTAAAAGTAAAATAAAATATATGATATTCAAAAGGCATGAATAACTTTGACCAATCAAACCATCCGTTGAATTTTGATGAATACCACTTGTTTGGTCACCTCTTTTTGATACCAGCTTATTGATTGTAAGTTTTCCCAATATCATATCTTTCCAGTGCCATAGTCAAACGCTAAAAGTAAAGAGTGACAGGGGAGGAAAAAAAAAAAAAGAGAAAACATAACTAACATATGATCCCTAATGGGTGGAACTTTACCAGGATGCTGAATAAATAGATGAAAACATGCTTTTGAAACTAGATTCAATAACATATTTTTTGTTTCATTTTTGAAAACAGAAAACACACCCACTACCAATAGCTTTTTTAGGGCAAAAGACTTAAACCTCTCTTCAACTTCAAGCTAAATACTAAGACCTCCCCTTTATTTTCAAAATGGAATGACACCTCCCCTATTGGTTGACGTCATACGACAAAGACCTTCCTTCCACTATGTATTTGTTTAGAATTGGTTTCATGTGAGCTCATGTGCTGTGAAACTTTATTAAGTTTTTATCAATAACCCAATATTGTTCCTCTATAGCACACTGGTGGTTTAAGTCTTAATGATTGGCTTAAACAGGGGATAGAAAGGGGAAAAGAATAATGAAGAAGAAAAAAGAAAGAATGGAGAGGAATGAAAAGGAAGGAAGAGAGAGAGAGAGAGATAAAGAAAGGGGTGGAGGATGGAGTCGCTCTGGTTCTTAATCAATAGATTGAAAAAAGTAGATCAATAACGTTGTGCCATGATAATAACAATTGTTGTTGGTCAAAACTACAATGCACTGAACGACAAACGGCAAAAGAACAACAAGAACGGAGTGGTGATTCAATCTATGTTTTGATGGGGTCCATGTCTATGTCGATTCGACAATAGAATTTGTATTTTATTTTATCTAGATTTGAGTTTCATGGAGTGAATGAGTACTTTTACATTTTCAATGAGAATACTTTTTTTGGATAGTAGTATATAGCTTAAGTTTTCACAACTGTTCTACAATGATGATCTTGCTGCTGCTACAATGACTTTGAAGTTAAGATTTCAGGGTTTTAAAAATTAAACCCTTCAATGAAATGATTGATAGTTTTAGAAATATCTAAAACCTTAGGCAAAAAATTAAGACATATTTAGTTTTAGATATATTTTTATTACTGTTTCTATGTCATCGCTGTTCTAGCCCAAGTAGCCTAGGTTTAGTCTTTTGCATAGTTTCATAGGGAAATTCCAAAATTTTCATTCTCTAGCAACCTCCCATCTACCCAAGGCTGTCATTTCCTGGTTTCAATAGGCGTATTTGATTTCACATCAAATTATCCCAAAATGTTAATGAGATCAACTTTGTGAATCAACACTAAGAGCAGCCCTCAAAGTGAGTATAAAGGTTGAGCCAAGCTACAATGATCATTCTTATTTCAAATTGATAAAGCTGATGGTACTCTTTGAGATTTTGAAGGATAATAAAGGATAAAAATGTCTTTTTATCAATTATGTTAAATATAGCGGCATCTCATTTAAATAGGGGAGGTTTAAGTCTTATTAGAAATTAGAGGGGAGGTGTAAGTATTTACACCAAACCTCAAGGGAGGTTTAAGTCTTTTACCCCCTTTTTATGTCTTGTTTCAATAAATAATCTGTTTTCAAATAAGATGGTTTTGATTTGTTTTTGACACTAGCAACAATAAAAACAATTCACATTATAGAACGATCCCTTAATAGCATCATACATTGTTATTGCTTTTAAATTTTAATTGCCCAAATGCTTTTATCTTCAAATCTAATCATTGAGTTAAGACATTCAAAGATGTAGAGTAAAGAAATTTGAAATTTAAATGTCTTTTTGTCTTTATTTGTGCAAATAAAATGCTCTCATGGGATGATCCTTTTAGCGCCTAACTAAAAAACCCGGCTCTGACCAACCTGGCCTAGGCTTGCAATACATATGCATATTTTATGCTAAGATGTAACCTTTGAGTTTAAATGTAATTTGCTCCATTGGGGATTAAAAAACACATGTATATTATACAATATTTTATATCTATTAGTAATTAAGCACATGTGTTGCACGTGATAAAATTTGATTTATATTAATTACTTTAATTTTAGATATATCATAGTTAAGATAAAAATCGAAAATTAACAAAAGCAATAATATGATTAAAAATAAACTTAAATATTTATTATTTAGTTATGACATCATGGGTTTCTTTGAAAAG